TATATCAAGGATAACAACCCAAATACATTGCTTCTAAACTTTAAGGAAACATGTCGTAAGTAGGGAATAGCCTTAACATACATTTCCAATGAACGCTCGAAAGACCGTAGTTCTTTCACGAAAGTTGTTCCTTATGTCCTAAGCTTCGCAAACACTATATATACACAGCTGGTACCCACCTATAAACAGTTTATAATTAATCTTATATCGGCAGATTTTCCATGTTGCCCCAACTTATCGAAACGTCCGTAGAAATTCATAAAAACAATCATAAAAGAGTCCCGAGATGATTACCTTAGTTAACCAAGTTAAAACCTTGAAGAAACACCAATAGTTAAAATTTATATCTTCAAAAACTAGCTCCGAAAGCAGCAAATAGAAGGGAAAAATGATTGCCACGTGTAGGGATTACGTTTCTAGGCACGGGGGCAATGTTTAATGGTAGAAATCGTCAAAACTAACCTTCATCATGCTAGGACTCCATAGGAACCCTCTCCTAAGCTGTTTTTTCTAGTTTTGGAACTGAAATGAACTGTTTCCATGGCTAAAAAGGTTAAATAGCCGACATACCATATTTCTTTACCCGACCCGGATTCTGCCCTGGCAATCCCTAGTAAAACCCTCATAACTTTTTACTCGGATGTCTGTTTGATACGGGGTTTTGTGCGTTGCAAACTAGACTCGTAGGCCTTCGATTTAATGGGTAATAGGCCTTCTAACTCTTTATATATTGGGAGAAAACATCCAATACATTTGACCCAAATTTCAAAGAAATCTTTAAAAAGGAACTTACGATAACTTTCGCCAACTTTTATTTTGCCACTTACTTAATTTCAAATCTTGAGATAAAACCCTTGAAAACTTAAAATATGACATACCACATCCTTTTTAATTTATTACTCACCCTCTTTGTCTTTTCACGAAAGTACGAGTTAATTTAGACGTTTTGGAAAAGTCGGTGTGTTACATCCTTCCCCCCTTAGAAACATTCGTCCTCGAATGAAAAATTTGAGTCACACAATCGTGTCTCTAGGAGTTGCCAAAGTATAGGCAAAGTATCATTTGTGAATGTGACTATCCATAACCTGAAACGCAGATATTTTAACCTAGGCGTCTCACATTACGGCATAAATAGCTAAGCACTATAGCTCCGCAATAATAGTGCGAGCAAAATACAACGACAACAACCATAATAATAAGCAATAATATATAAAAAAATAAAAATTGATAGGTATCTAACCTTACTTCACTAATATAAATTGATATGTTATCACCCTGGGGTATGAAACAATTGAGGATATTTGGACCTCATGCCATCCTCAGCTTCCCAGGTCACCTCTTATCTATTCTTGTTTCTCCACAATACTTTAACCGAAGCCACCTCCTTGGTCCTCAATTTACGAAAATGTCGATCTAATATGGCAACTGGAGTTTCCTGGTAGGACAAATCCTTTGTGATCTAAACATCCTCAACTGGGACAACCCGATAAGGGTCTCCTACGCACTTCCGTAGCATCGATACATGGAAAACTGGATGAACAGATTCTAGCCCCGAAGACAATTCTAACTCATAAGCCACTTGTCCTACCCTCCGAAGGATCCGGTATGGCCCAATGAATCTTGGACTAAGTTTGCCTTTTTTGCCAAATCTCATAACACCTTTCATAGGCGAGACTTTTAAGAATACCCAGTCATCGACACAAAACTCTACGTCCCTTCGTCACACATCTGAGTATGACTTCTGCCGGCTTTGAGCTGTTAGCAACCTCTCCCAAATGAGCTTAACTTTCTCTACTGTCTGCTGGACTAAGTCAGGTCCGATCAACCCTGACTCACCTACCTCAAACCATCCAATGGGAGATCTACATTTTCTCCCATACAAAGCCTCATAAGGTGCCATCCCGATACTAGAATGATAACTATTATTGTATGCGAACTCAATAAGAGGCAAGTGGTCATCCCAACTTCCCTTGAAGTCTAGCGCGCACGCCCGTAACATATCTTCGATGGTCAAAATTGTGCGCTCAGTCTGGCCATCTGTTTGAGGGTGAAAGGCGGTACTAAGATTAACTTGTGTCCCTAATCCTTTCTGGAAGGACTTCCAGAAGTTGGCCGTAAATTATGCTCCTCTATCGGAGATAATAGATATTGGGACACCGTGTAGCCTAACAATCTCTCTAATATAGAGCCCTGCATAGTTTTCGGCAGAAAAAGTAGCCTTGACTGGTAAGAAGTGGGCTGATTTTGTTAGTCTATCAACAATTACCCAAATAGAGTCAATTACCCAAATAGAGTCAGATTTTCTATATTGCCCCGACTTATCGAAACGTCCATAGAAATTCATAAAAACAATCATAAAAGAGTCCCGAGATGATTACCTTAGTTAACCAAGTTAAAACCTTGAAGAAACACCAATAGTTACAAATTTATATCTTCAAAAACCAGCTCCAAACGCAGCAAATAGAAGGGAAAAACAATTACCACGTGTAGGGATTACGTTTCTAGGCACGGGGGCAATGTTTAATGGTAGAAATCGTCAAAACTAACCTTCATCATGCTAGGACTCCATAGGAACCCTCTCCTAAGCTTTTTTTTTCTGGTTTTGGAACTGAAATGAACTGTTTCCATGGCTAAAAACGTTAAATAGCCGACATACCATATTTCTTCACCCGACTCGGATCCAACCCGGATTCTGCCCTGGCAATCCCTAGTAAAATCCTCATAACTTTTTACTCTGATGTCCGTTTGATACGGGGTTTTGTGCGTTGCAAACTAGACTCGTAGGCCTTCGATTTAATGGGTAATAGGCCTTCGATTTAATGGGTAATAGGCCTTCTAACTCTTTATATATTGGGAGAAAACATCCAATACATTTGACCCAAATTTCAAAGAAATCTTTAAAAAGGAACTTACGATAACTTTCGCCAACTTTTATTTTGCCACTTACTTAACTTCAAAACTTGAGATAAAACCCTTGAACACTTAAAATATGACATACCACATCCTTTTTAATTTATTACTCACCCTCTTTGTCTTTCCACGAAGGTACGAGTTAATTTAGACGTTTTGGAAAAATCGGGGTGTTACATATATATATATATATATATATATATATATATTATGATATTATTAAGATTACTTGTTCAGAAATTATTCATTAGTCAATGATACTACAAGAGTATATATATATACACTCTTACATTACATTACCATTCTCCATGATATGTTCACACCAAATATCCAGGCTTAAATCCATTAGAATAGATATGAACCTTCATTGTTTTCGATCTAAAAAAACTTCATACGATTGCATCGCTCACAAGGACACTTAATTAACCCATGATCTTTGAAAAGGGTCGAGTGACATTGCATGAGTGACAAATCCCCTAACACCTTCAACAAATTCATCTTTCATGTTCCCACGAGTTCATTAGTTCTATGACACATCCACAAACGATAATCCATCTACAAAAATATATAGTTATTCGTTATAAATTAAATGACATATAAATTTTTCTTAGTTTTTATTTGTATTGATGATTAAATTTAATTATTTAATAAACTATATTTTATCATTTAATAGTTAATTAATTAAATTCAATGATTTAATGGTTATTATACATTGAATATTTAATAGTAATTAATTATAAATGATATGAAGCACTAAATTAATGGATAAAATATTTAATTTTAATTTAATTCTTGATAATATTATTCATTTCTAAGTGTTAGTTTGGATGGATGACTAATAAGTAATAAGAAAGTATGAATTAGAGGAGACATAGGAATTATAATTTAGTAAATGAAGATATTTTAAAGGTGATACTAGATTTAAGGAACTAATCTTGATCTAAACTTTATATTTGTTTTTTAAAATTCATTTCATATTTACGCATTATAAATTTATAACTCTTACTCAATGACTAAGTTTCACTTTCTATTTTCTTTATCGGATCACTCAAAATTTGTCAAATGTATAAGTTGAAATTTTTAACTTTGCTTCTAAAATTTTTGCACCTACTACAATCTTACCCAAAGGAAATTTCACCATGTAAAAGAAATCTGCTCTTGCAAAAACATGAACATAACTATCTTCCTATCCAAAGAAAATTGAAACACAAATTCTTAAACTCACAAACAATTTTGAACGAATTTAAGAACAAACATGACGAAAAATTACCAAATTTCATGATTCAAGAACAACACAAGAAACATAAGAATTCAACCAATTAAATCTAACAATGAAATCTAGCAATACTAATTTTCTACTCTAACAATAACATGCATGAACAATTAAATTGAAATTTTAAAATCCCTAACAATAACATGAACAATTAAATGTATCGGACATGTTAGGATATATTCGAATTCCACCAAATTTAAAGAATTTTCGTAATTTGAAAAAGTGTAGGATACGATGTAATTAGCTCTTAACACTATCAAATTTGTATAAAATTATTACTCCCTCCGTTTAAAAAAGAATGACCTCATTTCCTTTTTAGTCTGTTTAAAAAAGAATGACCTATTTCTTTTTTTGTTAACATTTTAATTTCAATTTTCCACGTGGCATGTTTAAGGTCACAAGATTAAAGGACAATTTTGTACATTTGACATAACTTTAATTTAAGATCACAAGATTCAAAAGTCTTCTTTATTTTCTTAAATTCCGTGTCAAGTCAAACCAGGTAATTCTTTGTGAAACGGATGGAGTATTAATTAGTAGTATCACTTTTATATTTTGGTCCCTTGCAACCCAAAAGCCACACGCCGCTGACTTTACTTTGACGTGTCATTTCCTTATAAGTACGCACGATCCCACTTTGATTCAAAGCGGGAAATATTTGCTTTTTTTCTAAAAGGCGCTTCACTTAACTTTTTTTTGAGCCCCGCCCGCGCAGTTTAGCCAAAACATACCATTGTCCCGCAAAAATATGCCTCAATGACCACCTTATCCTGCAACCCCTTAATTACTTCATAATCGTTAAGCAAACAATCAAGGCATTATCCTAAACCTTAGGCGCAAGTTAGTTTAATTTGGGTCCTTATAATAGCCATTAATGGCGATTCCAATTGTCCTGTAGAATCCAAGTTAATAATACTTACAGAAAGAGACCCAGTATTCAATGATGTACCAAGCTAGAACAAGGAAAAGGGTTTTTGGTATCCAAATACATCGTGGTCCTGATGGCAGTGCTTTTCAAAAATGGTATACTAATTTCCCCTCTTTCTGATCAATAATTTATGTAAAAAATTTGTTTGTGTAATGTGGGTGTATTTGCAGTGAAACATGTGGTATCTCAGTGGCTATTGCGTTGGCTGACATGCATGAATGTGAACCCAGAAAGGATGTAAAGAAATTGAAATGCCAACCCAGGAGCAGAAACATTGTTAAGGAGAAGACCCTTATTCATCAACCCAGATCGGCTTTTCGAATTTTCATGTTAGTTGCCTCTTATCTCTCTGTTTAGTTATTTATTTGAATGTATGAGTTTAGAGAGGCTTGTTTAATACAGGCATAATATATAAACAATGTCCCTTAACTTGCTCAAATAGACATTTAAATATATATAAAGTTGAACAAGTATACACGTGTCCTATATGACATAATTCAAATTAATTGTCATGTAGGACGGACATATCTCACACGAATTGCCATGTAGGACAGGTATATTTCACGCAAATTGCCATATAGGACGTGTGTGCTTATTTGTGCAAATTGTATACATGTTTAAGTGCTATTTCTGCACACCCAAAATTAGAGGATATAGATGTCAAATTAAGTTAAATGGCATGTTTATGTATTTTGCCTTCAACATAATCAATGTGTGTGCCAAATCTTTACATTAAAGAACAACCATGTTGTGGATATCTATTTTGTTTGTTCAATATGTTAGTATTATGTGTATAAAGAAAAAATGTTGTCTTAAGTGGTCATGGCCTCATAGGTTTGGTGTTGCAGGGAGGATTTTGTGAAGAAAAATATCGACGAAAATGAGTTTGAAGTAGATAACAGAGGTTTTGAGACGTGGAAAAACATGACACGTAAGGTACCAGTTTGTTTGGTACTTTTAGTTGTTTCTATTTGAGCTTTGGCTATATTATTTTTATCAAACAATGCTAGCTAATCATGATTCATCACCCATTTGTTCATTGAAGTGTTTATTAATGTAATTGAACTGAAAAAATTTCAGGAGAAGTTTTTGTACTTCATGAAAGCCGAGACAATTAATCTTGCACATGTGAAACTTTTGCACAGAGAGGAGAATGATATGCCATGGAGGGTAATCTGCGTGTTACATTTCTTTGTTCTGCTACTACTGCAGACTGCTTATTCCTTGAATGATCATTGATTGTCACTTTAGATATTGTGCTCCTAAATGGACTCTGCTGGCTGGTGATGCATTTCCTTGTTCCGCATTGTGTGACATCCTTTTTCAAATTTCCTATACAGGGATAAATGTCATTTGAAGATTCACAAATTTCAGCCTTAATTGAACTTCCTGTGTTTTCTGAAATGAAGGATTCGTTCTGTTAAGAAGTTGATGCTTTTTCTGTTTCAAAGCTAGTAAACATGATGAAGTTACAATCTTGCTTATCCAGTAACAAGATTCTCTAGCAGAGGACATAGATTCCTTAATGACATTAGATACAATATTGATCATGCATGGGTAAAAATAGTTTGGATTCCAGAATTGTTTTTCATACTCCTCACTATCTGCAATAGTATTAGTCTCTCGAACAAACATACTAGCCTCTCTTAAGAATAAACATTTGCCTTAGATGACCATCTAAGCGAACATTTCTGCGTTTAGATTTCCACAGAGAAACTAGATTACCAAGTCCTATATCTACTGAAGGCATCAGGAGCTTAATGCTACTTCAACTGTGGAAGTTTTATACCTAAAGCTCATAATGCTCTTTTCTGTATTTATTTGCTCTCTTACATTACCTTTGCTTGCAAATTTTTAAAAGCATTGTACTGTGATCTGTTTGATAAATTACAAGTTCCTTGTGGATAATGCTTCTATCTTTCTGATTCCCCGTTAAGATGCTTAAAACTTTAAATTACAGGTTTCCGGATACTGTAAATGACATAACATCTTATATCTCTTGAACCTATTAGGATATTTATATGGCTTTAATTTTTGAAATGTTTCTTTTCTGACATGCTTGATGAGTAATAAGTTTATCATTTGCAAGAATGCATTTGGTCCCTTCCATTCAGATGCTTAACTTTCAAGTACAAGTTTTAGAATACTGTAAATGACAGTTGCAACTATAGGTGGATGATGAGGCAGATTCAGCTGATGTTGGCAAGTATGATGAGGTTTGTTCCTTCGCTTCTCAATTTCATCTAGATTTAGTGATTTACCTGAGTGCTTTTTCCAATTTGAATCACAACCTAAATTGCTGTCTTTTTGTTTCAAGAATTATGAAGACTATGATTATTATGATTCTGAATCTTCTTGGGATTTGATTGATTTTGGCCTGAGGTAGACAAGAGCTTTGACACCAGTGAGAGGGTAATGATTCTGTTTCTCACTTATTTTTGTGTGCTTGTATTTGGATTTAGACTATATAATAGGCTCCTAATACTGCAACACGACTCTTCCTCTCTTTTTTCTTCTTTGAAACAGGAGGGTTTGTTCCCGTGTAAAATCTTGAGGATTGAACATCATTTTGATTTTTGAGGTGGTTCCATGCTTTGGACTAATGGAACCTTTATGTCAATGGCTGGCATCTGTTTTTGTGCAGAAGCCTTGCCGATTCCTACCTTATTGAAGGCAACTCAGGTTGGTTGGCTACTGCGCGTAGTATTTGTTACTATAGGAGTTAGGATAGTGAACATCTAGATACACGTTCTTAGACAATCCCACTAGATAATCTTCAGTGATACATTTCTTGAGATCAGCCAGGAACCTTGTATAGGATGGTTTTTTGTGAAGGTTCTTGTTTGATTTGTAGGCTTCCTACAGGGCCTTTGTGTACAGTCTCATGAAATGAAAAGGGGTGATATTTGCCCCGCTATTTATGGGAATAGTTTAACATATTCTCTTTGAGTTTTCAGTTAAAACTAATTCTACCGTTATACATTTGATGAAATATGCCCCTAAACCTTGAGGGGTAATGAACACAAATAAATATACCGGACCATTTATCAAATCCGGCTCACTAAAATAACCCATTAATCTTCTTGATAAACCATTTATTAGGCTAAGGATAAGCCTCATTTCTAGGAATCCCGCAAGCTAGCTTACTAAGGTAGTTTACTTTTTCACTCCCGAAGAGAAAGAGGTTTTTGTTACTTTCTTCTTCAAGGCACCTTTGTATGAAACTTTTGTGTTGCTATTGCCCCGTCCCCTAGAGCGGGGGGGGGGGGGGGGTTGACAAATCTATAGTGGCGGGTCTATTTCCATTTGGGCGAGTTTGTGGAGTAACTTATTTCTTTCATTCAATCTGTCTTGCTTGATTGGTTAAAGAGTCTTTGCAGGAGTGGTATTAGACTCTTTGGCCTCATAGTCAATCCTTTCTTTTGCGAATCCATGGGGTTTTTGTTTTGGATTTACCATGCACTCTTGCTTCGTGTATGTATAATAGAAGTAGTGTGGGGATATCTGAGATACACTGACTGAAGCATGCGAAAAATCACAAAATGAAATTGACTCTTCTCCTTAGTTGCAAAGTGGAGTTCTTCCCCAATGGTCATTTGATATCCTTATTCTCTCATTTAATTCTAATTTCATAGGCAATTTTAGTGATACAAACCAACTGAAATATAATATAACTTTAAATTCAAGAATAATGTAAGAGGGTAATAATTATTTTCATAGAAAAAACTCATATAATAACATCAACTTCTATCAACGTAAAGTTGCACAATTTAATATATTATTACCTAAATTTCATATATATAATCAAATGAATAATCAATATGAAATGCTCTATAATAATTAGATTTTAGTCGTGCTATATTTTTGAGTCAAAGAACTGAATAGAAAGATGTAGCTCAACTTTAATGATTATTGTAGACGTAATTAAAAAATGAAGGAATATTTGAAACACACTATCATTAGTTGTCTTGCTATCTAACAAAAAGTAATATGCCATCACATAACTTTAAAGTTAGAGTAATGTATAATTATTTTGATAATCATCTACACATGTACAATACCTTTATAATCACCATCATCCTTGTAACTTCATTTCCCAATTTTCTAATTTAATTTGATCTATACCTCCCTTTAATTCCCAATAAAATCATCATGTTGATTTAATTTAATATGTGAGTATGAACAAATAAACAATAAATTAAATTGAGGTACTAATAAAGTGTTTCTGCATGAAAGTAAAATATAAATTCAGTTATAAGAATTTTGATAAATAAACTTATGAAAACATAAGAATTAAACATCTAATGGATTAAACCAAATCTATTAGAACTCAATAAAGAGTTAATTTATGAAATATATTAGATAACTTTTAAAATTTATGAAATATATTAGATAACTTTTAATGAATTAATATATATTTTGAATTCTCACCATTTACTATTTGAAAATGAAATTTAATTCAATTTAAATGAAATTAAATATATTAGATAACCTTTTATGAATTATTGTATTTTTTGAAATTTCACAATTTACTACTTGAAACGAATTTTAATTCAATTTGGATAAGTATTCACAAAAGTAATGTCATTTTTAGGACGATATTTAATTCAATTTGGATAAGTATTCATAAGAAGTATTTAATTCAACTTAGATAAGTATTCACAAAAATAATATCATTTTTAGGACGATATTTAATCCAATTTAGATAAGTAGTCATAAGAAGTGTTTTAGGAGAAAAAAATACATCGAAAACATGTGAGCCAAGTTTATCATGCACGGTTCTGCATTACCTAAACTTTCAATATTAATCTACAACATTTTTCACGGTGTATTTTGCACAAGATCAACAATTATTGTATAATACTCTACTAGTTAACCAAACCGCGCTTCGCGCGGTCATATTTTTCTATATTAATTGATATATAAAAATTAAGAAATTGCAATGCCAATATATATATATGAAAAAATCAAACAGAAAATAACAATAAAAGAAAAAAAACAATAGAATTAAATTAGTTTCAAGAAAAATAAGAAGAGAATTATAATTTTTCCTTGGAACAATACAAAGACATATTTCTTTATGCGCAATTTTATATACGTTGCTATCTCATTTTTGGGTGTTTTAAATTATTTATGTTATTTCACTAATAATTTCCTATATATAATACTATTTACGTTTATATATTTATTTAACTATATAAATTTAGAGTTCATGTAATTTTTTTTGCTTATAATTTAATTTTTTCACAATTACTTTTTTAAAATATGAGCATATCAATTTGTTTAATTGATAAAATTTATAGCTTAAACTTTTTGTTATATATCTACACAAAACTTTCATATGAAAGGCATAAAAATTAATATTTCGTAAATTTTTTATTAAAAGTTAGAAATAATAAATACACAAGAGAGCTCAAATATCAACTTTGTATAGAAACTGAATAAATTATGTAATCCAAACACAACATAAAGATGAAGAAGTTAAAAGCGAATATCAATAATTTCATATCAATATGTGGATGAGTTTTGATTTTCAATAAAGAATATGAAAAATTTGGACAATAAATGATAATACTTGTGACGTTTATTCTTATAAACTAATAAAATAAATAAGAAAATAGGGAAAAAATTAACTTTTTTGGCTAGTGCAATATTTTTTTACCGTCAACTTTAATCATGGGTTCATCATGAAACGTAATAAATATAAATGGATGTTAGATTTTTTTTGGAGAGTTACGTCTTTCCATTTTTAAAATTTATTTAGTGAGCAATTATCTTATTCTTTAATTGGCTAATTGATTAATTGTATATATTTTTTAGATTATTGAAAATTAGATAAAAAGAGAAATCTCATAATTAGGAGAGTTAAAGGGATGATTTAACTTTTTTCAAGCTATTTGAAATGATATTTCATTAGACTACTCTATTTTAATAATTTTTCATTCATTAGGGAGAAAATGAAAGATTTGAGTGATAAATATTTTTGCCTTTAAATTTACAATAAATAATAGGAATAAGTGGAGTAGTAAAATTTGAGGTATTTAAAACTCTTAAAATAAATAATAGAAATTAATGAAGGAAATAGTAATTGACACATTTTTTAATAGTAATTATAAATAGAAATATAGTAAAAATTACAACAATAAAAAAAATAAAAATAAGGATCATTGGCCAAAGAGAGGTGTCAAATCATTTTTTTAATATTTTAGCTTTATATATATATATATATATATATATATATATATATATATATATAATTTTTTCATTCTTCTTGCAGAATGAAAGGGTTGGAATTAAATATTTAGGTCTTTAAATTTACAATAAAGAATAGGAATACGTAGAATAATAAATTTTGAGACATTTAAGTTTTTACAATATATAATAGAAATAAATGGAGAGAGTAATAATTGACACGTTTTAATAATAATAATAAATTAAAATATAGTGAAATTTATCAAAAAATAAATAGGATCTTTGTCTTCTTTTGTTGAAAACGAAAGTATTGTATATAATGTTTATAGTTTCTTTAGTTTTTCATTAGAATTATACAAATACTCAAATTTGTTGACAATTTTTTTAATTCATTGCTTGGATAACGTTTTTTTCTTTTTGTAAGTTATCAAATTTCCACTCTTTAAAATGCTTCTAATCTTAGTGTCGTATTTAGGAATGCACTTCGGCATACAAATAGACAGTAACATCGAGTACATAATGCTCGTTTTAGAATGTTGCAAAAAATTATCATAATAAAAATTCAAAAGAACGTAACTAACCATAATTTAACGTAATGAATTATGTATGTACAACTATAGTCATGTAAAAGAAAAAGAATTTTTTTTTTATATATTTTAGGTTCTTCAATAAAGTACATAAAAGAAATATAGAGAATAGGAAAGAAAAACTAAAAAGATCAAATTACTATAATAATAATTTTATTGTAAGACTCTACATTATCTTCTTCCAAAATTCACAATTTTCTCTATTTTTGTATCTTCCTCAACTTTCTTCTTCACCCTACAAGCACAAATAGTATATTATGAAATTGTTAGTTACTCCATGATTTTATTTGGATTGAGTTTATTCAATTTAGTTTCAAAGATTAGTTAAATTGACTAAACAAAATAAATAACATCACATAAATTATTAAAGTAAAAAATATAATTTAAAAAATTAAAAGAAGCATTTTTACCCATAGATTCTTTACGACTTTGTTGACAACAATCATATGATGTGATAATTAACATTTCTTTCTCATCCTAATGTATGATATGGTGATGGAGAAGTATAAGAATAACTTTGAATGAATTTTTTCTTGCTACAAAATATGAATTTATATAGAAAAAAGAGGAGGAATACCATAAGGTGTCATAAACTAATAAATTTAATTTTGGGGGTTATGAAGATTAAAAAAAAAGAGTTATGAATATTATTAAGATTAAAAGTTGAAGAGGTGTGAGTTATTGAAAGTTCTTTCTTATTTTATTAAAGATATTAAAAATATATTATAGTGATAGGTGAAAGTTGAGTAATTGAATGTGAAGACTTTTTGAGATATTAAAAATAAAATAATTAAATAATGAATGAAAAAATAGTAAAAAAAGATAAATATAAATGGAGGCCATAGAGAGGTGTCACATCACCTTCTCTATGTTTCTCCTTTATATATATACTAGTGAATTCAGCCCGCTCAGCGCGGTAATAAGTTTTTGAACAATT